TAGATATAGATATAGATATAGATATAGATATATAATTAGTCCAAAGAATTAATGAACCATAAATTTCAACTTCTACAATATCACTGTTTGACTGCAGAATTAGGCATCACAGTAGAAGATCCTGGGTGGACTAAACTCATTACCAAAAGTCAGAACTAACTCATAGCTGACCCTCCAGCTGGTTTTTGTTATTCTTGATGTTATTAGGTGCCATTGAGCTAAGTACAATTTATAGTGACCCTGTGAAGAACAGAGCTGAATTTTGCCCTTACCTATGCCATCCTCATCATCTTTAACACCGTAGTGTCCGTTACTGAAGTCACTGTGTCATTTTCTCTCTTTAAGGGTCTTCCTCTCCTTCACTGACCCTCCATCTTTCCAAGCATAATGTCCGTTTCCAAGAAATAGCCTTACTTAGTTACATGTCCAAAGTATAAGAGATGAAATGTCACCATCCTTGCCTCCAAGGAGAATTCTGGCTGCACTTTCTCCATGTCAGTTTATTCTGTTGGCAGTCCATGGAATATTCGGTACTCTAACTTAGCATCACAACTCAAAGATATCAGTTCTTCTTCTGTCATCCTTATTCATTGTCCAGCTCTCTGACTGAGAAGACCATGGCCTGAATCAGGTATACTTTAGTCTTCAAATTGATAATATTGCTCTTCCTCATCCAAGCAAGATTAAATCATTGGAAGCTTCAATCCTTTCTCCATCTGTTATGATGTTGACTGTTGGTCCTATGGTGAGGATTTTTGTTTTCTTGATGTTGAGATATATTTCTCATGAGCACAATTAAATGTTTAGGGATTGTAATTTTTCTCGTTGTTAACTATAATTTGTTATATGATCCATACAGTCTAATACATAGTCAATAATAAGCAAATAGACATTCTTTTGGTATTCTCTGCTTTCAGCCAGAATCAGTCTGACATCCACAGTGATATACTTAGTGCTATGACCTGGTCTAAACCCTGCTTGAACTTCTGGCAGTTCCATGTCAATGTCCTATTCTAGCCATTTTCAGATTTTGGTTTTTGGGAGACTGGAAATCACAGGGAGGAGATTGTCCCTCTTTCTCCCACGAGAGAACTGGTAAATTCAAACCACTAGAGATGAGCCTCCTTTGGGCTAATAGCACAACTCCCTGTGGACTGTTCCATCAGAGCTCTCTCACTGCTGATAGCATGAGAAAAAATGTGGAACAAAACTCAAAGATGTAAAAAGAACAAGCTTACTGATCCAATAGATACTCTAGTGTTTCATCACCCTTCAAACTGAGAATAAAACTCACCCCCATGGCTCAGCTTCCAGCTAAACAATAATAAGCAGGACTTAAAAATGGACAGTAACATCAGGGGAGCAACACCTCCTTAGAGTGATGAACTACACAAGGTTAGAAGGGTACCATTTGCCCAAGGATAAAGCCCAGAAGATTGGAACAGCTTGATAGAAGGATTAATGGAAATGAGAATCAGAGCAATGAAATGGAGGGAGTGCAGTTACACCGTGAGGACTGTGATTAATGTTATTGATACAAATGTGTGAATGATTGAATGGAAATTAATGTGTTCGCTAAAATTCCATGTAAATCACAATGAGAGAGAGAGAGAGTGAGCGAGCGAGTGAGCTGGGCTGTAAAGGAAAGCAGATCAGATTATGAAGACTTTCTCCATATGCCAGGGAGTTTGGATTTTCTTGAAAAAGTAATAAAGAAGGACTTGAAGTGTCATAAAGGATTTCATTTTAATAAGATCATTATAGCTCTATTGGAGATGATGGAGCAAAGCAGTCAGAGCTAGAAATCAATTAAGAGGCTGTTGGAATTCAAATAAGACAGGACTCAGGCACTCTGGAAGTGGAGATAGAAATTACCAAGCTCAAGAGCTCATTTAGAAGGTCAGATTAGCACAGATTAATTGCCTAGAGGAAAGATTAGAAATATGAGGAACAGAGGTATCCATGATGGTTCTTATTTGTGCATCTGTGTTTATGAAAGTGCTACCAATTGAGCCAAGAAATACTGGAAGAAGAGCTGATTTTAGAGTGGGGAAGGAAGTGGGAGGTCATGTTCCCACAACATCTTGGCAACTTTGAACTTCAGAAAGTCTAAGAAGAAATTTCAGAAATTAATTACTTAGGTAGTCGAAGCCAAGGGGGAAAGAATGGCCTTGGACAGGGAAAAAGGAAAAGCCCCAGAGAGGGAATCTTAAGACACATTAAAGCGCAGTTCTTAATGTTGGCCAAATGTCTGGAGTAGAATTAAACATAGTGAAGGAACGTCAGGAGCCTAAGGTGCTACGGAAATACAGTAAGTTCATTTGATTGGCCAGTGGCTCTCCAAGGGCAATTTACCAGCCACTTCCTGGGAGAAAGACAAGGCCATCTGCTGTTAGAAACCCAGTGAAAACCCTGCTTTGTCTTCCAGGGTCATGCTAAGTTGGAATCTCTTCAGTGGCCTTGGGTGGTTCTCAAAGCAGATCAGCATCACCAGGGAACTTGTTTGAAATGCAAATTATTAGCTATCAAATATGAAACTCTGGGAGCTCTGGTGGCCTAGTGGCAAGAAGGTGCAACTACAATCCTAGAGGTGCACGGTTCGAATCCACCAGATGCTCTGCCGGGGAAGGAGGGGCAATCTCCTCCTGTACCAGTCAGATCTGATTTGACG